ACCAAAAATATTTTAAAGAAAGAAGAAAACAAACTAGTGATTCTTCAAGGATCTTGGTGAACCATGTTTATTTAACGAAATAAACCCCTGAGACACTGAAGAATTAAAGCAAGTGAGCAGAACAAACAGGAGTTCACAACAGCGTGTAGAGAGGCTGCAGTGCTGTTCAGCACAGAAACCTGAGGGGAATGAAGAGATTGCAGTTCACAGAATATGAAAGATTGAAAAGTGGAGGAAAAAAAATCTATCCAAATGAAACACTATGCTTAATTTCATAAATCTTAAAAAACAGGAACTCAGGAAAAAAAAAAAAAACTTGATTCATGCTTATTCTCAGGAAAATCCTGACGTTCGCATCCACTCTGAAAGCAATAGTGGCTGGGAAGGCTGGTGTGTGCCTGTAAACCTGGCATAAGAGGCAGGGGAGCAGATCCTGCCGGCCTGGGCAAGAGCAGATCCCACCTCCAAAAACAATCAAACACTGTTAATTAAGATTGGAGCTCAGCGAATTCTCTAGATAATTAACACATCTTTTTAAAGTAGATTTGAGGTGCTTACGGTATCTTTATAAATAAAATATATAAATGAGAGATTTCTCATCACTACCACCTAGTTGTGGTAGGTGATTACCACCAAAGACTTTTCTAGTGGATAACTGATAGTATAGAAATAAATTCCTGTACTCTTTTAAAGCTTTTACTATCTTTCAGGATATGTAAGTAGAATATATAAAAAAGGTATTTATCAAACAGCTGTTGAGGTAAAGCTCTAGTATATATTTGACTTTTAAATATTTTTTGAGACAGGGAATCACTATGAAGCCTCACACAGTCCTGATGCAGATTTTTGAGTGCTGAAATCAAGGTGTGTGCAACAAACCCACTCAACTCTTAAAAAAATCATCATTTCCAATTTCTTAGGGAAAATTGTCTTATTCAAGTACAAAGACTTGTGAAATGCTGTGTGCTAAAGATTAGGGATTTAGAAATACATTATAAAACATTCTTATACTTCAAAGAGTTCAGTTTATCAGAAGAATAAAAGGCAAAGTAATAGGTGCAACAGTGCAACTCCAAGTATGGGCCAAGTGTTTAGGAACTGGGAGGTGTAGCCACTCTAACTTGGAATTGTGACGGGTAAGAGGGAAGATGAGCTAAATCCTTTTAAAACAGCTCAAGAAAGAGCGATACTAATAACTGGGGTGGGGGGGGGAGCTACTTAGCATCTAATCCTGCCCTCTTCTCTCTGAAAAAAAGGCTCTTATGTCCTTTGCTGGCCTCAAACTCAAGGCAGCCCTCCTGCCTCAGCCTCCCCAGTAGTGTAACTGTAGATGTGCACTGCCATGCCTAGCTCTGTACCTGCTCTTTACCTGACAAGAGCTTTTCTGCTTCCCTGTATGCCTTTCCACACAGCCACTGTGGCAACAAACAGCTGCTTTGATTATTTCACAACCCTGGCTAATAGTTTAAGTCTCTACTAACGTATTTAATGATGTAAATGCAGAAGAATTAGTCCTTTCTTAGTGGAACAAGTTGTAGGATAGAAAACTCAGGAACGGACAGTTTTGCTACATAACGAAAAAGGCAGTTAAGGAGTGAACCAAGTGAACAAACACGGAAGAGTGACGCCCAAAGACAGCCTCCTCCAACCCATGCCTGGTCAGACTGCTTCCTGCCGCACGTGTCCAAAGGGACTGCTAAACTGTGTAGTTCAGAGTCAGAAAACTCACTACTTTCTCTAAAGAGAAAGCTCTAGGGGAGAGCTCTAGTGAGTGGGAAGGGCAGTATTTCAATGCTTTTCCTCCCAGCTTGAGATCATCTATGAAGTCATTTATGCTGCTTAGCAAATACTAACTGTACAAAAATACCACTGAAATTCAAAATTTTTTTAGTTTTAATTTTATTAAGTGACAAATTAGTGTGTTTTCCTCAAATTAAGTTAATCTTTACTAGCATTTAAAAACCATTCTTAGGTATGTAGATGTGAACTTGTCAAGATGGTTAAAACAGCACTAACACAGTTAACAAAAAAATTCATCCTAAGTAAGCCATATCTGAGATGACTAGACGGTCCTTTATGATCGAAATGGGGTTGAGGGAGATCAAACAAAAAGAAAAATGCATTATCTGTCAACAAAATGATAAAGGATTTTAAGATATTTATGCTCTTATGATTTTTTTTCAAACAAAAACTTTGACTATTACTGAAAACTATTAGCCTCATCCTCAGATAGATCTGCAATACATGCAACGAAACAAGAAGCAAAATGAATGTTCAACCAACATTTCAAAATTATAACATAAAAGACTCAAACAGTCAGGCCTGGTGGTGCATGGCACCAGGGAGGCAGAGGCAAGAGAAACATGAGTTTGAAGTCAGCTTGGTCTATAGCAATGTGGTAGTTAATGTCAACTGTCAACACGACAGGATCTAGAATCACCAGAGAGACAGGCTTTTGGGCATGCTTGTGAGAGATTATCTTGATTAGCTTAAGTGAGATGGGATGACTCACTCTAAAAGGTGAGTGGAGTGGTAAGTGGCTGGAGTCCTGGACTAAACAAAAGGGAGGAGGTGAGCTGAAACATCATCATTCATTGCTCTCTCCTGGCTGACTACAGACACAGTGTCATCAGATGCTTCAAGCTCCTGCTGCCTTTGGCATCCTAGCCATGATGGACTGTACTTGTGAGCCAAAATAAACCCTTCCTTCCTGAAATTGCTTTTGTCAGGGTACTTTGCCACAGTAACAGGGAGTTTCATGCTAGCCAGAGCTATACAGCATGTCCCCATCTCAAAACAACAATAAAGGACTAAAACATTTTTATAAATAAATAACCTTTACTTCTGATGGTGCTGTCCTCTACTGGACTGTGCAATATGCTTAGTAGAGGCTAGCTCAGCATGCCATACTTTCATTTTCCTAATAATATTTCTAAGTATTCTTTTCCGGTTTGTTTTCACTAGGCCTATTAAAGATAATTATTCACTCACTTGATATACAAGGTGCTAGAAAATGCCTAATGAGAAATATATCTAGGAGATTAAGGGCTGGTAGCAAAAGAAGAAAAAAAAAATCAACCCATTGGACTTAGTACAAAAGGTTATTAGGACACATGCTTACACTTGGATATATTAGACACTCTGGCCTTAATTAGTTAGGTGCATTAACAGGCAGACTACTACTGCTACTGCCAAGCTGTAACTGCTGAAAGGGGTCTAGAGAGAACACACAGCTCAGTAACAAAAACTGAACAGGAATATAATTAAATTTAGAGGCATGTGATCCAAATTTAGTTTCACCAAAATCAGAGAACACTGGGGGATTATGAAGGGACACTGACAAAAAGCAGTAGGTAGGCACCCCTCCTATAAGCACCCAGTTATTATTTTAGGTATATTATATCTCAGTAATAGAATTTCTTAATTTCTCATTAAATACAAAAGGAGTGTATACACTAAATATTGTTAATTGCAAAACACCCCTTGTTAGTGCATCTTTCTAAGTTTGGGGTATTGGTATTACTGAATTCAGTCCATAGAGTGAAAAGGGAAGATGACTCATATAGAGTCCTCAGCAATTTGTCCCATGTGAATATCTTATCATAAAGGGAGAGGGGAGTCACAGTAAGCCAGCTAAATCCCGTCTTAAATCTATCTGAATAAAATCAAGTTGATTTTTACATATACAAGGACTAATTAACAGATATAGAATCTAAACATAAGATATAATGTTGGTTTATTTAAGCCAATAAAGTGAAAAACAAGTTGGATTCTATGAGCCAGTCTTTGGGACACTGGGAATTTCAGGTCATCATATTGAAAAATCAAGTGTTACATTTTGGCCATCCTGAACACTAACATTTTAAAAACTTGTCTGCTTTTTTTCTTTTAAAACTATGAATATGTATTTAATATTAAAAAAAAAAACCCAACAAAACCTTAAGGTTCTAGCCATGAGTAATTATCATAGAAAGCTATAGGAAGAGCAACCACAATTCAGCATACACAAATCAAAGGGAATAAGAAAACAAAATTCAAGAAAAAGATGCTAAATTCTTGTTATCCCAAACACAGAAATCACACTAATTCAGTTTTTAAAAAATCTGTTTTGCTGGTGAGGATTGAAGGTAGAGCTGTATACATGCTATGTGAGTGTTCTGTTACTAAGCTACATACAAACCCTCATTTACTTTTATTTGGATAACACAAATGGTCTTCTTAGGGTACTTTATAGTTTGGAAGAAAAAAATCTAAGGGTTTTATTGAAAAAAAAATCTTAATGGAACAAGTTCAAGCTGAGTATAGCGTAATCTCTGTACTACAGCACAGGCCAGAGGATTGTGAGTTAGAGGCCATTCTGGGCTACATGGCAAGTTTCATGGCGAACCCTGTTTCCAACTAAACAAACCACCACCCACCCACCCACCCACATAAAC